ATATATATATATATATATATATATATATGTTTATATGTGTGTGTTTCCATACTTATACTGTACACACACACACACACACACACACACACATACACACACACACACATATATATATATATATATATATATATATATATATATATATATATGGACAGGCTGGTAGATATATTTAGAGAGAGAGCTGTAAATATATGTGTGCGTGTGGAAAAAAAATATGAATGATGATTCTATTGAATGTGATGGTTCAGCGATATTTGCCATCAATCGAGTTATAGATATACAAATAAGCTTTATAAACATATGATAAACATTTTGTGAGAAAATTACAATGGCGAAAGCACCGATTTAATGGACGCGATTATCATAATGAGGTAGGTAATTATGGCAACGTTAGTGTGCGAAATGCATTCAAATCTTTCAAGTAATAATTAAATTGAAATGAACAGTATGTCTTTCGTTATCATCATCTGCATACCTTTTTTTTTTTAGAAAAGAAAGTTTTGCTGGTATTTCTGGTGAAGTTTGTCGGCATTCATACGGAAATTAAAAGTTTGAACGTACAGGGGATCAGTTTTTAGTTTTAAAATTAATGATACATACAGCCTGCTTCAATGAAAATTATACGCCGGGACATAGATCATAACAATAAATAATAATCATTGTTAAAACCAGACAACTCCTGCTAAACCCTTGTGTCGGGTTAAGTATTACGATAACGCCACGAGAAAAACATTAATATCATTCGGAGCTAAACAATAACAGTCATATTGCTATATGTCTGTCGCCTCTTCCCCCTTCTGCCCGGATAATTAGCTCTCCACCTCTTTTATCATCACCTATATGAACGTTCATTTCTCCGAGGTCCCCCCTAAAAACGGAGCGATAAAGAATGAGCAACACAAAGGCAAGGGATGGCAGGCGCCGCTCATGCACGCAGCAGCGAAATTGCGTGACTTCTTCGAGCGTGATCGGCGACCTTCCGTCTGACCTCCGACGTTCTTCGGGTCACGTCTCCTGACGATCTCTCGCGAGGGAGACCAGAACCGTAAATATATCTACGAAACGTTATTTTATTGATATTCAGGAATGAAATGGATTTGTGTATGCGCGTGCGCACGCATACATGCATGCACACACACACACAAACATAGACACACACACTGTTAGAATATGGTTTGTATAGGCACTATATTTCATAGTTCCGATGCTATGTGATCTGTTTAATCACTCTATGCGTTATTAATGTTTCAGAAGCATTGAATTACATTTATTTCGAGTTTTGTAACATCATTATACAGAATAACAGCTCTGATTGTAAAATATGAATACACAAAGAAACAGTATATGAAACAATGTTCTGTATACAAAATGTCACTGTTCACAGAGATCGGAAATAATGAAAACGTTGCACCTTCTTGGAGCTTCTATAAGTCGGATCAGCTGTCCTTCTAGACGAGCGCTTCTGTTACTGGATTTCTTTATCCTTTGAAGGTATGGGACTATAGACTGAAGATATTGAAACCTGAAGATAGCAGTAGTTTATCTATATCCACTGTGACAATTTCTTTTTTTTTTTTTACACAAATCTAGGGTTAGCTGTGGCCACGTCGATAATCAGGTGAAGGTGAATGGGCAATCCAATCGTTATCTCTAAAAGAAAAGGGTTTACGATTCTCTGCTTTAAGCTGAATGGAATCTTTCGTTGATTAGCCCTGGAGAGCTTAATCCAACAGAAATGTAATCTACACTTGCTTTTTGTTTGCGGTGTAATAGAGGTGGGTTTCTTCCCATCTTCGTAACAAGCAAGAAATATATATAATCTGGAGTAATAAGTAAATGTTAATCAAAATTAAAATACTAGCAGCTACAATTGCAATTTATAAAAGACATCAAAAGGCACTGGTAATTATATGAACCCGCAGGTTTTGATAGTGTCGCATGGCTATGCCATATTATTTAATTCATTTACTTAGGCTACGTTTACGAGTGTAATCAATTTATGATTTGTTTGCATGTATGTGTGTATGTATATGTGTATTATGTATGTATATGTGCATTATGTATGTATGTGTGTATATATATGTGTACTATGTATATGTGTATTATGTATGTATTTGTGTATGTATATGTGTATTATGTATGTATGTGTGTATGTATATGTATTATGTATGTATGTGTGTATGTATATGTGTATTATGTATGTATGTATATGTGTATTATGTATGTATGTATGTATATGTGTATTATGTATGTATGTGTGAGTTGGGGAGGGGAGTGTTTGTTTCTTTGTGTGTGTGTGTGTGTGTGTGCAGACCCCTGAATATGACTGGAGAGCATATTACACAAAATTCCAATAAGGGGAACAGTAATCCAAGTGTATCTAATTTTAAAAAATGTTTTCGAATGCAGCAGATTTCGCAGAACACAATAAATGCACAGCTCCTCGATTTCACACACTTGTAGGAAGTTAAAAAAACGAACATTTTTTTTTGTTGTCCAA